TTTTTGGGGGGGAAATGGGCCACCTCCGTGTCCCCCCAGGTGTGGACCGGGCCACCCCCGTGTCCCCCCAGGTGTGGACCGGGCCAGGTGTGGACCGGGCCACCTCGTGTCCCCCCAGGTGTGGACCGGGCCACCCCCGTGTCCCCCCAGGTGTGGACCGGGCCACCTCGTGTCCCCCCAGGTGTGGACCGGGCCACCTCGTGTCCCCCCAGGTGTGGACCGGGCCACCCCCGTGTCCCCCCAGGTGTGGACCGGGCCACCCCGTGTTCTCCCAAGTGTGGACCGGGCCACCCCGTGTCGGGAACTTGGGGCGGGCGCACCATTGAAGCACCGCACACAATCTGAATAAAAGTCGTTCTCTTCTTTGGTCGGGTAAGGGAGGGAGGGAAGTTTGGGCTGCGTCACAATGGGATCTGGGCTCCCTTACATTCTCTTAACCCTCTCTTTCCACTTTTGTCTCCCCCCACCCCCCCCCCTCTCTCCTCTATTTCCACCCCCTTCCTTTCTTTTCCCTTCTTCACCACACACACACACACACACACACACACACACACACACACACACACACACACACACACACACACACACACACCTACACCTGTAGCAGTTACCACCAGTACCACCACCATCACCACCACCATCACCACCACCACCACCATCACCACCCACCACCACCACCACCACCACCACCACCACCACCACCACCACCATCATCATCATCATCACCACCACCACCACCATCATCACCACCACCATCATCATCACCATCACCACCATCATCACCACCACCATCATCACCACCACCACCACCACCACCACCACCACCATCACCACCACCATCACCACCACCATCACCACCACCATCACCACCACCATCATCACCACCACCACCACCACCATCATCATCACCACCACCACCACCACCATCACCACCACCACCACCACCATCATCACCACCACCACCATCATCACCACCACCACCACCACCACCACCACCATCATCATCATCACCACCACCACCATCATCACCACCACCACCATCATCATCATCACCACCACCACCATCATCACCACCACCACCATCATCATCACCACCACCACCACCATCATCACCACCACCACCACCATCATCACCACCACCATCATCATCACCACCACCACCATCATCACCACCACCACCACCACCACCATCACCACCACCACCATCACCATCACCCAACTTCACAATCCCGTGTGCGAACTTTTGCACTGGACGCAGCTGGAAGCAAAGTTGAGCAAGAGCAACAGTTTTGAGATATTTAAGTTATAAATAGGTAACTTAAGAACCAGAAATTGAGACAGTTTTAATAAAGAAAAAACGGGAAAGGGGGGAGGGGGGAGCGGAAGATGGTAAGGCGTAAGACTAACGACGTGAACTTTGGGAGAGGTCTTGACTACCCCGATAGTTTGTGTGTGTGTGTGTGTGTGTGTGTGTGTGTGTGTGTGTGTGTGTGTGTGTGTGTGTGTGTGTGTGTGTGTGTGTGTGTGTGTGTGTGTATTCACCTAGTTGTGCTTGCGGGGGTTGAGCTTTGCTCTTTCGGCCCGCCTCTCAACTATCAATCAACTGTTACTAACTACTAACTAACTACTTTTTTTACACACACACACACACACACACACACACACACACACACACACACACACACACACACACACACCTACCTTAGGAAGCAGCTCCGTAACCGCTGTCTAACTCCCAGATACCTATTTACTGCTACGTGAGCAGGAGCATCAGGGTTTAAGAAACTCTGCCCATTTGTTTCTGCCTCGGTCACTCTGCCACCCACCCTGCCACCCACCCTACAGGAACACAAGGTACAGGAACACCAACGTAACTCTGACACAGGAGAGTGCGAGAGTTGAGGCAGCCACCGCCAGGAGCCGCACCGAGCACTCTACAAGGGCCTAGAATGGAAGAACCATGTTAGAAGTAAAAATAAAAATTTAAAAAGTGATGTGAATAGGGCGCTGCTATCACCACGGAACAGAGGCGGGGCGAGGAGTGCCTGGCACCCTAGGAGGGGGAAGAGAGGGAGGGGTAAGGGTGACTGGAAGGGTGAGGGAGAGAGAGGGAGGGAGATGAGGCGCTGAGAAGTCAACACACCGACCACCTCCACATTCACACTTGATGTGACCATAGAGACCCACAAGGCTCTCTTCCTATTCTCACCGGGTGATTGTAATGTTTGACATCATTGAATAACGTAAAATAACATGTTTGAAAATGTAGAATTATTAAACTAATCGACAATCGACTTGAGGATGGTCCAGGACGGACCGAAACGTCGTCGTCCCTTCACATTCTAGTGTGTGGTCTGGTCAACATTAAACTAATCTTTCTACTTCAAGTGCCACCTGCTACTTCTACTATTATATCCTACTACCTTACCTTGAGGTGCTTCCGGGGCTTAGCGTCCCCGCGGCCCGGTCGTCGACCAGGCTTCCTGGTTGCTGGACTGGTCAACCAGGCTGTTGTTGTTCTTACTACCATGTATTAGTACCACACTTCTCGTCACACTCCTTCCCTCGGCCTTCGTCCATCTCAAGACTCGGCCCTTGCTAGTCGACGGAGGGAGGGAAGAGACATGATCACAACCTACAAAATCCTCAGGGGGAATCGACCGGGTAAACAAGAATAAACTATTCAACACTGGTGAAGAGATGGAGGGAAAGAGATGGAGGGAGGGAAGGATACAACACAGTGATGGAGTGGGGAGGGAGTACACATCCTGGACGTCATTAAGACTTGCTGGGAAAGGAAGAAAAGTGTTCCCAGAGAGGAAAGTGTCTGTCCACTTTTATCACCAACTAAAGTGAACTTATACTATACCACCACCTGGTAGTGGTATAGTATAAGTATAAGGGGGTGAGTCTTCTTTCCTTATACTTCCTACTGTACTAATTATCCTTGTTAACTCACTATTTCTCCCAGGACCCGGTCCAGGTAGCACTGTCCCAGGAACCGGTCCAAGTGGCACTGTCCCAGGACCCTGGTCCAAGTGGCACTGTCCCAGGAACCGGTCCAAGTGGCACTGTCCTAGGAACCGGTCCAAGTGGCACTGTCCTAGGAACCGGTCCAAATGGCACTGTCCCAGGACCCGGTCCACCGGGACATTATTGGTTCAGAGCATTAAGTAGAAAACTTTCCTCACTCTCTCATCCTCAACAAGTTTACCCGCTAAGCTTTCACCGGTGTAGAGTTGGGTAAACTTTGTGTTTACCTCAGATGCCCTCACCTCTATTCTTCCCCTCCCTTCTCTCACCTCTACTCTTCCCCCCCCTCCTGTCTCTCTCACCTCTAATCTTTCTCTCTCACCCTAACAGTTTCGATTCAAAATATTGTGACATTTGTCTAAGTATTATACTGGCCATAAGAGCGACCATCCTCCTGAAGGGATATTACTTGCTAGAACAATCCTATGCCTGATACAGGCTATTGTAAGCCTAATAGACTACATATATATGCTGTGCCAGGTCCATGGAAGGTTTAAGTTTAGGTTTTAATCTCGACTTCGAAAAAAAAGGTAAAAGTGAAGTTTGTGGTGTTGGATGTGTTGGTAATGTGGACCAGTGGGTACTGTGGACCAGTGGGTACTGTGCACCAATGGTTACTCTTGAGTACTGTGGGTCCAGGGGGAAAGCGCCAAGCCATTACGACTATATAGCACTGGGAAGGGATCAGGATTTGGGATGGGACGGGAGGAAAGGAAAGTTGCCCAACCACTTGGTCGGTCGGGGGATTGAACGCCGACCAACATGAAGCGAGACCGTCGCTCTACCGTCCAGTCCAAGTGGTTGGTGGGTCTAGGGGGATAGGCTGGTATAAGCAACCTATCCCCGTCCTCGTCAGACACACACAACCGAGGGACCCGGGTTCACAATCTCTGTGTGAAACAGAAACGACTAGGCACAATTCCTTTCACCTCATGCCTCTATTCACCCAGCAATACAATAGGGAGTTAGGCAACTGTCGTGGGCTGCCTACTGGGTGTGAATTTCTGCTTCGTGTGAGCCTCACATGTGTGCAATGGCAGACGACTCCAACAAGCTAGTGCTCAGGCCTTGCTCAGCCCGGCACCGCGGGCTGAGCAAGGCCTGAGCAATGGGTGCAGTAAGAGGGTGCACAGTGCCGCTCAAGAGCTGCGTAGTGTGGGACCAATAGGTGCATATATATAAGTTCGAACCCTCGTCACGGCCCTTGTGACCAGGGTTCTAGGGTGGCCTGCCTACCCTACCCTCCCTCTCATAGGGGCATAGGTTCATATGAGTTTTCTTCCCTCCCATACCCATCCTGGAGGAGGGGATGTGTTGGGGGAAGAGAAGGGGGAGGGGGGGTGTGGGTGTGTGGGGTGGCTGGGGGGTGGCCAATGTCCACCATCCCCCACTTAAGCACGTCTCAACCTGCCGTCATCAAGCCTCGCCTGCAGGGTGGGTGGGGGGGGAGGTCTAAGATGGAGGCAAGGAGGAGGTTGGGGGAGGGGGGGGGCAGGGGATAGCACGTAGAAAGAAGGAAAGTAGGGTGGAGTGGAGGGAGGGGAGAGTGGGAAGGATTCTGAGAAAGGTGATGACTTTAGTGGCTGTATTATGACCAGACGCACACACTGTGTTGGTCTGGTCGTCCCTTCACCTTCTAGTGTGTGGTCTGGTCAACATACTTTAGCCACGTTATTGTGACTCATCGCCTGCATGTGGCTGTATTATGACCAGACGCACACACTGTGTTGGTCTGGTCGTCCCTTCACCTTCTAGTGTGTGGTCTGGTCAACATACTTTAGCCACGTTATTGTGACTCATCGCCTGCATGTGGCTGTATTATTCACCAAGTACTCATCCTGTGAGTGGGAGTGAGAAGGTCATAGGCTCATGATGGCTTCATGAACTCAACCCAATTTTGTTTTAGCTAAACAAGTTATAATTGGATATAATTTTTGGTAATGGATCATTTCACTTGAAATCATTTCTTAGACATTTGTGATGGTTATCTGGAAATTCATTGCTTTATTTCGTCTGACTTCTGCTGGGAGGTGGTCTCTGCTGGAAGGTGGTCTCTGCTGGGAGGTGGTCTCTGCTGGGAGGTGGTCTCTGGTGGGAGGTGGACTCTGCTGGGAGGTTGTCTCTGGTGGGAGGTGGTCTCTGCTGGGAGGTGGTCTCTGCTGGGAGGTGGTCTCTGCTGGGAGGTGGTCTCTGCTGGGAGGTGGTCTCTGCTGGAAGGTGGTCTCTGCTGGGAGGTGGTCTCTGCTGGGAGGTGGTCTCTGCTGGGAGGTGGTCTCTGCTGGGAGGTTGTCTCTGGTGGGAGGTGGTCTCTGCTGGGAGGTGGTCTCTGCTGGGAGGTGGTCTCTGCTGGGAGGTGGTCTCTGCTGGAAGGTGGTCTCTGCTGGGAGGTGGTCTCTGCTGGGAGGTGGTCTCTGCTGGAAGGTGGTCTCTGCTGGGAGGTTGTCTCTGGGGAGGTGGTCTCTGCTGGGAGGTGGTCTCTGCTGGGAGGTGGTCTCTGCTGGGAGGTGGTCTCTGCTGGGAGGTGGTCTCTGCTGGGAGGTGGTCTCTGCTGGGAGGTGGTCTCTGCTGGGAGGTGGTCTCTGCTGGGAGGTGGCCTCTATCACCAACACGATTTTCATTCTTTCAAACTCGAAATAAATTCTCATTTTTCGTGAAGGCAATGGGCTGGACAATTCGTATTGTATTATTTATATAATACAACAGACAAAATTACAGTTTTTGGTTGTGGCCGCGTTCCTTAGTGGAAGGTTTGGACGAGGTTGGCAGGTGTGTGGCCAGCCTCGGGTTGTGGTGGGGGCTCGAAGTGGTGCGTCGAGCCTTTCACCACACTACCACCACTACTACCACCACCACTACCACCACCACCACCACTACCACCACCACTACCATCGGGTTACCCCAAATGGGGCTACAGTGAGGACTAAGCTCATGGGTTCCGGCCTACCCTATAATCACTGCTATATAGAATTACGTTCATATATATTTTTTACCGGCATGCAATATCGTACCATTGAACATACTCCTTCTCTTTGCAACAATACAATTATGAATTGCACTGTGTTCAACACCATTGTTGACACCATTTGTATATAAGAGTTATTGTTCTTCAAGACCAACCTCTCAAGTATCAGGTCTTAACATCCTCTCATTGGAATGCAATTCTTAGGCATGGACACAGATATATTTATAAATTCAGGGATAAGTGCCAAGCCTTTACGACTATATAGCACTGGGAAGGGGTCAGGAGAAGGATTTGGGATGGGACGGGGGGAAAGAAATAGTGCCCAACCACTTGGACAGTCGGGGATTGAACGCCGACCTGCTTGAAGCGAGACCGTCGCTCTACCGTCCAGCCCAAGTGGTTGGACGCATGGACACAGAGCTATTGTCGCATATATATATTTTGCACTAGTTTATTTTAAGTTTTGTAGACTGATTCTGCGTATGTATGCGCGTGTGTGTATGCGCGTGTGTGTATGCGTGTGGTTGTCATACTGTGTCCAATGGTATATCCCAAATATCAACACGTGTGGCTTAACTCTTTGTTGCTTACAGCAATTAATTATATTGTCCTTCGGTCAATAGGAGTACCAGTTAACAGGGGTGGGGATTGGTCGTGGAGGAGCGCCGGGTCAATATTACGGGGCCAGGTATGTGTGTGTGTGTTGTACACTATCATATATATGACTAGTGTGATATCTGAGTGTCTTGCTACCCCTGCCTCTCACACACCTGCCTGCCTTGGTACCCTACCTCTCACACACCTGCCTGTCTTGGTACCCTACCTCTCACACACCTGCCTGTCTTGCTATCCTCCCTCACACACACCTGCCTGTCTTGGTACCCTACCTCTCACACACCTGCCTACCTTGCTACCCTGCCTCCCTACCCAGGGTGTAGTGAGGTAATACACTCCGGAGGTGCAGGGGGACCTCTCCCACATTATTATATCACGTAAGAAAGTAATTTAACATTTTCCTAAGTACTGATAATACAATTAGATAGGGTACCCGGCTGTGCCCGGGTCTCTGCCCTTCTCCCTCCCTCCCCCCCTCTCTCATCTCTCTTCCTCTGTCTCCTATTTTTCCCTCTCATATCTCTTCCTGTATTTACCCTCTTCCGCATTCTTTTCCCTTTTCAAATTCCTCCCCTCTTCCCCTTCTCTCCCCAACACACACCCTCTGGTTTCCTCCTCTTTCTCTCTCCCTCCTCCTCTCCCCTCTCTCTCTCTCCCTCCCCTCTCTTCCTCTCAAAATTTATTATTACAAAGCACTAAAAAAAGACCACTAAAACCTACGGTAAACACATCCCCCAATTTTAGACAGTGATAAATCACATCGTGGGGAAAAGGGGGTCGCTGTAGGTGCCTATGTTGCTTAAAGTATGGCACCCGGGGGGAAGGCCGGGCCTGGCCTATGACAGTGGCATACCCACTCATGTGTCATTTTGCAAAGTTGCGTGAGTCTAGTTCCAACCATCCGGTGTCCTACTTTGAACACACACACACACACACACACACACACACACACACACACACACACACACACACAGTTGAGAGGCGGGACCAAAGAGCCAATGCTCAACCCCCGCAAGCACAAATAGGTGAGTACACACACACACACACACACACACACACACACACACACACACACACACACACACACACACACACACATTCTATTGTGTGTATATATGACACAATAAAATAGATAAAAATATATATATATAAGTTTTTACACAGAAGAAATGATTGAAATGCTGGGTACAAAGCGGTTACAGGTGAAGTGAGAGATATTGCTGTACTCTACAAACACAACCTAAAGATGGACGACACACCCCGTGGAACACAATGTTGTAAACTTCACTGTTGCAGTTTTTGGTGTTGTAGGGGCCCCTCTTTCCCCCCCCCCCCCCCTTCCTCCCAGCGCCCCCCCTCTACAACACCTGGTACACTTTCCTGTTATATTTACCGTTCTTTTCCTATCCATCATGTTGCGATAACATTTGCAATGTTTATCTTCATGTTCTGATGTTGTGGGACGCGTGACCACAGTCTCTTTCATGCTCTCTACCGTTTAGTTAGTTTTTCTAAATAACTTTATATATATTTAAGCATTTAGTGAATAAGTTAATATTTGAGTCATTGTATGTATGTGGACGCATATGTTGGGGGGATTAGACATACATAATCACGTGAAATGTGTTCATTGATCACATATACTCACACGACTAATATCGGGCTAGGCAGTGCATATGTAAACACATTTGGGTGCAAGAATGACTGCCAGAAATCTTAGCCAAACATCCCAAGTTTGTTTACTGTAGGAAGTGTAAACAAGTGATTGTACACCTCCCCCCACTGGGGGGTGGGGGTGATAAGCAATCACAATTCTTATGTGCTAAGTTTAGAGTGTGTTGTTCAGACTGTCATGCACACTATGGGTAATTAGGGTGCACGGGCCCCTACGATGGGTAAAGAGTTCATAATATATGAACTGAACTTTAGATATGGTGGTGTGGCGCTCCGTCAAGATTTGGTAAGTGAGGCTCTCTGCACACCCTGGCAAGATTGACGTCTTGAAGCCACCTCCAAGCACGTCAGCGCGTGAGAGAGTGAGAGAGAGAGAGAGAGAGAGGAGGAAGGTGAGGGTGTGAGGGGAAAGTAGGAGGGTCAGTGTCAGAATGAGGGGTGTGAGTGTGTGTGTGTGTGTGTGTGTGTGTGTGTGTGTGTGTGTGTGTGTGTGTGTGTGTGTGTGTGTGTGTGTGTGTGTGTGTGTAATTACCTAAGTGTAGTTACAGGATGAGAGCTACGCTCGTGGTGTCCCGTCTTCCCAGCACTCTTTGTCATATAACGCTTTGAAACTACTGACGGTCTTGGCCTCCACCACCTTCTCACTTAACTTGTTCCAACCGTCTACCACTCTATTTGCGAAGGTGAATTTTCTTATATTTCTTCGGCATCTGTGTTTAGCTAGTTTAAATCTGTGACCTCTTGTTCTTGAAGTTCCAGGTCTCAGGAAGTCTTCCCTGTCGATTTTGTCAATTCCTGTTACTATTTTGTATGTAGTGATCATATCACCTCTTTTTCTTCTGTCTTCTAGTTTTGGCATATTTAATGCTTCTAACCTCTCCTCGTAGCTCTTGCCCTTCAGTTCTGGGAGCCACTTAGTAGCATGTCTTTGCACCTTTTCCAGTTTGTTGATGTGCTTCTTAAGATATGGGCACCACACAACAGCTGCATATTCTAGCTTTGGCCTAACAAAAGTCATGAACAATTTCTTTAGTATATCGCCATCCATGTATTTAAATGCAATTCTGAAGTTAGAAAGCATAGCATAGGCTCCTTGCACAATATTCTTTATGTGGTCCTCAGGTGATAGTTTTCTATCTAGAACCACTCCTAGATCTCTTTCTTTATCAGAATTCTTTAAAGATTTCTCACATAATATATAGGTTGTGTGGGGTCTATGTTCTCCTATTCCACATTCCATAACATGACATTTATTAACATTAAATTCCATTTGCCAAGTGGTGCTCCATATACTTATTTTGTCCAGGTCTTTTTGAAGGGCATGACAGTCATCTAAATTTCTTATCCTTCCTATTATCTTAGCATCATCAGCAAACATGTTCATATAATTCTGTATACCAACTGGTAGATCATTTATGTACACAATAAACATCACTGGTGCAAGAACTGAACCCTGTGGTACTCCACTTGTGACATTTCTCCATTCTGATACATTGCCTCTGATTACTGCCCTCATTTTTCTATCAGTCAGAAAATTTTTCATCCATGATAGAAGCTTACCTGTCACCCCTCCAATATTTTCCAGTTTCCAGAACAACCTCTTATGTGGAACTCTGTCGAAAGCCTTTTTTAGGTCCAGATAGATGCAGTCAACCCAACCATCTCTTTCCTGTAATATCTCTGTGGCTCGATCATAGAAACTGAGTAAATTCGATACACAGGATCTTCCAGATCGAAAACCATACTGTCTGTCTGATATTATATCATTTCTCTCTAGGTGTTCTACCCATTTAGTTTTGATTAGTTTTTCCAATACTTTCACTATTACACTTGTTGTGGGAAAAACCTGCTGGGATTGATATAAGAGGAGACTACCAGGGACTTGTACTGAACTAAATTAAAAATTTACTGTCTGCAATTAATTCAACTAAAATCTCTAGCTAGGGTTGTAAATCCTAGATCCTCTTTTCCTAATGACAAACTATGGGCTGTAAGGGACAGGTGGGGTGAATGACTTGTTGATAGAAGTTCCAATCCACCTGTAGACAGGGATCTCACATCAGCTTGTATTTTATACAAGGATAAGATTTGATAAATTCAGTTATCTGACTGAACACTGGCTCTGTTTAAATCAGAGATTTAAACATACATAGTCTAACCTAGTACCATAACTTAACAGCCAATATGTACTTATACTATAAACAACAAATTAAATTGTATGAGTATAATAAATGACCTTAAATGTAGTCTAAATACTGTCAAGTACTAGAAATTATATTCAATTAAATGAACTTATAAGATAACTTATAAATAACTAAGCAAGCAATTGATAACTTAATTTATATATTCAAATATATATGCAGACATATTCACTTTATACAGTTAGCTTGACTG